AGTGTTTTGTACAGCATGCCTTATCTGCAGGAGTTATGTCCACCTTTTGTTTCAAAATATTCACTTATGGGAAGGTTCCAGAATAAGCAACATGACTTTAGTTGACTGCGATTCTGCATTGTCTTTATTTTAGTACTGGTCAAGAACAAAGAGAAGCAAACTCGTTGCCATCACTCCTTGCTTAGCCACATTACTCAAAAATTATCATCAAGAAACAAGTTAAAATTGAGCAGTTAGAAGAACCATTGTGTACCAAATATGTCAAGCTGTGTATATAGTTCTGTCATTGCCACAGTTATCATCTGGAAAACTAAATAGGAGCTTGTATGAAAGCCAGACTTTGCAGTTATTAATACACTTCACCACTGTGCCACATCACACATTTCTTCCCTGGTGCACACCGGCTTCTCAGAGTCACTTTTACATTTGTTGTAAGAGAGAATAGCAATGCCTTCTGTGGAGGGAGGAATACACTCAAAAAGAATAGCAAAAAAACCTTTAAGGGTTTTGTTTCCTAACAAAACTAGAAGTCTAGAGCTGGGCAGCCCTGAGCAATAGCAAGCTTCCCAGAAAGTTTTGCCTGTTTTCTTAGAATTACAAGATATTTCTGACACAAGAGAGGTTACGATTCTATGGATAAGGGCATTATATTCAAATAAGCAGGCAAACTTGAATCCAGTCAATAGTAATACTAGACCTTATGTTCTCTAATTCTGAGAACATAATTGGAAATCCAAATGAAGTTTCCAGAAATATAAAGTGAAAGCAGTTAGTTTTCATTGGGAGATTGAGAAAAAAATTGAGAAAATTATAGAAGAAACAATGTCTAAGTGACGGAGAATGAGAGGTACACACACACACACACACACACACACACACACGAGACCTGGTTTTGTGACTGCTATTTTGAACTCTTGAGTAAGAGAATAAGCACTATGTATATTCACTTTTCTACAGTTCCAGTGTGAGGATCCTAGCTTATTCCCTCATAATTATAAATCTCACTTTTGAATTCATCATAGCAAACTGTAGTCGATCTTTATTTTTTTGCATTTATTATGTGCTGATATAATTTTTTGTTTACACTACACTTGCTTACCCCTTCTTTTATTTTCCATGACACCTTTAGAAGAATTTCATAAGTTGTGTATAAAAATTATATACTTGTACTAATTCCCATTCCTTGTCCAATTCAGTATTTTTCCAATTGACTATCTAGGCAATAGCTGTATCCCCTGGTACCAAATAAATGGAGAAATAATTGTTTTACATGAATTTAAAAAAAAACAATGTCTACAGTGCTAAAGGCTTAAAATCATAGCTCGATTCTATATGAAGTAATTGCGTGTTGAAGAGAGGCTGCTTGTTTGTTTCCCAGCTGCCCAGCAGCTCAGACCTGAAATAATCACACAGAAACTGTATTAATTAAATCATTGCTTGGTCCATTAGCTCTAGTTTCTTATTTGCTAACTCTTACATATTAATTTAAGGCATCTCCATTAATCTTTGCATCGCCATGTGGCAGTGGTTTACTGGGTAAAATTCCTGCGTCTTTGTTCGGTGCGGTTACATAGCTTCTCCCTAACTCTTCTTTCTTTCTCCCAGCATTTAGTTAAGTTCTCCCACCTACCTCTATTCCCTGTGAAGGCTCAAGATAACTTCTTTATTAACCAATGGTATTCACAGCATACAAAAAGGAATCCCACATCATGTTTAGAAGTTAGAGGACAGGGAAATGGACGAATCTTCTGGGAACAGTGACAAGAGTGTTCATTACTGAACAATTATGAGGAACTAGACACAGAAAACCTTTTTTTTTTTTCCTGAAGCTAAAGTTTTCCCGTTTGAAGAAATCCTGAAGTTAAAAGAGATGTCAAATCTACATGGAGAAGGAAGACTTAGATTAAATGAAGAAAATAGATCCCACAGGATCCAAGATCCTGCACTGGTGGAAAATGATAGAGCCTTTGATTAGCGTCGATAGCTGAGCACAGATTGAGCTCATATTGGGGTAGCTGTTAAAGGAGCATGGCAATAAATCAATATGCTTCTGAATTTACTTTTGGCTGAAAATAGTCTGATGAGAAAATATCCTGTTACTGTGTGAAATAAAACCTTGATCTGAAGCTTGTTTGTGTTGCAACATTAGTTTTTTAAAACTTGTCTCAACTAACATATTAAATTGCTTGAAGCATGAAAATTTTAGATTAAAGACCTGCCACTGTAGCCATGGAATATAATAGTAAATGAAACAGCAAGAAGAACTCAGTGTACTTTTTGAGCTTTCTGAACAGATATATATATATATATATATTAAGTGTAAGTTAAACCAGGAAAAAAGTTACTAGACATGGCTCAGTTAGACAACCCATGTAGGTCTGTTTTTCTTAAGAGTGTGTATCAGAAAGTCTTACTGTGTAAGTGGTACTCATTTCCTTCAATGATGTTGAGACAAGATGTTTCTTTAACGATTGCTGTATGTCAGCTACTGTGCCAATGACACTATACATTTTCTTCTTTAGTTTTCTAACAACCCAAATGAGTGAAAATAAACTGGGAATTTGCTATCTGCTTGCATTCTCACAGTAAGAAAAACAATAAGATCACACTCAAGACTCTTGCTCATTGTCAGCTGTATTCTATAAACTGCTGTTCTTGGAGTATAGATGATCAAGTTGGTAAAAACAAAAGCAGAACCTGGAAGATTAGCATCCCTCTGTTGTTGCTACCCATGTTTCTATTCATTCTATTAACTACAGTTATTTGGGTGTTTATTATATTATATGTGTTGTATTTTATGATTGTGAATCACTTTGTAGGAAGGGAATTGAACCCTCGTCTTCTGAAAAAGCAGCCTGTGCTTTTAACAACAACCATCTATGTAGTCCCTAATGAAAGTTACTTTTAATTCAGATGCAGATACAAAATTTTATATATTAATGAGATATCATGTAGCATTTCCACTAAGAAAAAATCAGGATGAATTTATGACTCTCTAAATATATCACTTCTTATGAAAAAAAAAGAATTCAAGGACTACTTTTCTTCTAGGTTTTTAAATATGTGGAGGTACTATTAAATAGCTCACTAGAACTTCTTATTCATAGTTAAATGCCACCTAGTACTCATTTATTGAAGTTCCCCAAGTCTTCTCTTTATTATTAAAAGAGCCCTGCTCATCACCATAAAATTTTCATATCATTTTTAAAAGCATTACATATATGCATGAGATTTTGTAATAATTGTCTTGCTGTGTCTGGCTTATTTCACTTAACATAATGACCCCTAATTCTAGCCATATTGCCACAAATGACTTTCATCCTTCTAATTGGAGAATAGTATTATGAATTGTATATATAGGTACAACAAAAAAATTGTTATCACATGACAGACCAGATTTTTTTTTAAGAATGAGTCATCAGCTTTATTTAAAAGCGGCTTTAAATTTTTACCATAGAAGAAACATATTACCTCCTGAGAACATAAGCAAAATATGTGAAAAAGAAATCAGAAGAGTTTCTTTTGACTTTTGGAATTTCAATGGATGTATGATCATGAGTGCATTCTTTTAAAAAATATTTCTTTAAAGATAAGCAAGTTATTTTCCTTATGCCACTTTATCCACATCTATACTCGCATTTTATATTAATTTTTCTATATCAGCAATAATTGTATGTTTTAGTCATATATATTTAACAAACTCAGCCCTTCAAGATGTATTTATAATCTTGAATTCTGAGGAAACTGAATTGACGCTAGTGTGTTCTGACACACTTTGACATTCTATTCAAGTTTCTCTTTATAAGCTACACTATTTATTAAATGACATCTCTGCTAATCTAAAGGAAAATATCTGTTCTCCAAATATTGTCACTGCCAAGCTTCACAAAGATTTAATTGTACCACGTTAGGGAAACAGTGTCAGAATAACCATCAAACTTTCTCCCACTGTAAGAACGGATTACAAAAATGAACTTGGAGTGATGAAATGGCTCAAAAACAAATTAATCACAATCAAGTCCTTAGCTACAATTCTGTCCATATCTGTTAAATATTTTCAAACTACTCTAAAGAAACACCAGAAGGCAAACCAACAGTGAATGGAAAGAAAATGGCCAGCAACATGCATTGTTATTTGAATGGAAAATAATTTATCGTGTCTGAAATCAAAGCTGTTTATTCTTGTGTTTCACTGTCTGCAACAATCTTTACCATTTATCTGCATAAAAAGGAGAAACTATACCATTATTAAACTATGAATACTTGACACATCAAATTAAATGCACAATAACAGAAAGGCATTTGCTATTGGCATATGCAACAGACAAAGCAGTCATTTTGAAAAAATAAATTGAAATAGTGTGGGTTTCCTTCTCTTTTAGTTTTCCTGATTCTGACCAGAGAAATCTGGCAGTTAGAATCAGAATTTTTTTAACAGCAAATAAAAATAATCAGGTGCCATTATGTATGTGGCAATTATACTGATACATTCACTCTGCTTGAAAAATAGAAGCAGAACAATTGGTGTGAGCATGTGCATATGCATGTGCAGAGTGGGGAGTGTACTAGGCCAGACCAGATAGTATTTTATTTTAGCTATTATTGGTAAGGTAAAACAACATGTAAGCATTCTCAGCTCTATTTATATTGAAAAAAAAAAGGAAGAAGAAAGAGGAAGAAAGAGGAGCAGGGAGAAGGAAGAGGAGGAGGAAGAGAAACCTTCCTTAAAATACTCAGTATGTCCTTGTTCCCTTAAAATATTTCTCATCAATGAATATTTTTATGTTTAGCAATAAAGAGTGATTGGTGTTTGAAAGGATTTTGCTTATTTTATCAAGGAAATATAAAAACCAGTTCTACATTAGAACGAATCAAAGAATTGAAGAACAGGAGAGATTATAATATTCAAATGTGCTTCCTTCCATGCATTTAGCTTAATGATTAATGAGGATATCTGTCACTTGATTTTCTTTCTTTAAAGCAAGAATGCCTACTTATTGTTTTCATTTTTTATTTATTACCTGAGAAATCTATGCCGGCATATAGAACATATTTGATCAAAATTTACTCTCCTTAAATCTTCTTAGTTTTTCTTCATTACTTGATGATAGAGGTTTCTGTCCTGTCTGGTCCCACAGTCATTTAGTCTGAAAAGAAATACACAAAAGCCTACATTAATTATAAACTGGTTGACCTATTAGCTCAGGCTTCTTATTAACTAATTCTTACATCTTAAATTAGCCCATAGTTCTTGTCTGTGTTAGCCATGTGGCGTGGCCCTTTTATCAGTGAGGCATTTTCATCTTGCTTCCTCTTGGTCTGGGTGACAACTGCAAACTGAATCTTACCTCTTCCCAAAATTCTCTCGTTCTGGTTCCCCCATTTATACTTTCTGCCTAGTTACTGGCCAATCAACATTTTATTAAACCAATGCAAGTGACAGATCTTTACAGAGTACAAGACTTTTTTTTTCTTTTCTCTCCCAATTTCACATATCTTCTGAATTCACTTAGTGCTTCTTTTATATACATAGGACCACCCACTTGAGAATAGGCTGCCCATCAAAGGTGCTGTTTCTGAAGCAGTCTGAAACGTTCCATCCCCTTTCCAATCATTCTTCAGCTAGTAGCAGGACTTTGTGAGTTCGTCATCTATCCCTGTTGGGACTTTAATTGGCCTGATCTTGTGTAAATCTTGTACATGAAGTCATAGTAATTATGAGTTCACATGTAAAATGGTGCTATCATTCCCTGAAAACATTTTCCAAAGTAGTCTTCCACTACCTCTGACTCTTAAAATCTCCCCACTTCCCTAAACATCAGAAGAATAAAGAGATATCGATGCCCTATTTTAATGTGAATATTTGTGAATATTCCACAGTCTTTTCTTTTCCATACATTTACCAGTTGTGGTTCTCATTATTTGCTGTCATCTACTGCAAAAAAGAAGCTTCACTGATAAGGGCTGAATGTTGCACTAATCTATGTATATAAAATCTATGTATATATGTATATATATTTGTTTAGGGGAGAGTTTTATTCCATGTTCCTTTAGCAGAGTAAGAGTAATAGAATGTTCACTAGATCCTTTAAGCAGTCTTACCATAGGATTATGGTACAAAGGAATTGCCATGTGGAACTTCATATAAAGTCGTAAATCCAATCAGACTGTGTTTGGTTATTCCAATAACATTTATGTCACCTTTGTACTTGTGGACATATCCTGCTGAAGTGGTCATCATTATTGCTCACAGAGTTCACAATATGACAGTATAGGTGATTACCTTTCTCCACTGCGATTTGTACAGTATCTTCTACACCATGAAAGCCAGCTAGTAGGGTCGAGCTTTCAAATCAATACCTTTTATTTGTCCATGTCTTTTAGTTCAAGTGTAGGGTGTCTTCATTAATAGAGTAATAATCATCCAATTACAGCAGGATTATTAGAGTAGCATGTAGTGGGTTTATGGTGCTATTGGCAAGCAATTTAAGAGAAGACAATCTGTTCTTGATACTGGGAAAAATAAATAAAAATTGTTAATGTGTAGTGTCTAGCTGGAGTATTGTTTCACTGTTGTAAGATAACTCCATTAAAACTCTATCTTTCCCTATTTTTCTGTCTCTCTTTCCCTGCCTTTCTGTCTCTGTCTCCCCTTCTCACCACATATACACATGCACATACACATTTCTCTCATTCTAAAAACACACACAACATACATACACACTCACACAAACACATACACACAGTGGCTTCTAAGACAGTATTTTCCAATATGACTTTCAAAAATCCTGTTTCAGTTATCCTTTTCTGTATTCTCCTCTTTCCCCTTCTCTTCCTGTCTCCTCTCTTTCCATTCCCTCCCCCACCTCTCATATTCCCCCTCATCACCCACTCCTCTGTTCAGAAAGGGAGAGGTCTCCCATGGGCATCAACAAAGCATAACATATCAAGTGAGACAATGCCAAGTTCCCCCCGCCCCATATTACTGGGCAAGGCATCCCAAAATGGGAAATAGGTTACCAAAAAAAGCCAACTCATGTGCTAGGAACACATCCTGATCCCACTACTAGGGACCCCACAAACAGAGCAAACTATACAACTGTTGCCCTACATGTGGAGGACCTAAGATGGTCCAATGTAGGTTTCTTAGCTGTTGTTCCAGAGTTTATGAGCTCCCACTAGCTCAGGTAAGCTGTCTCTCTGTATTCATCCATCATGATCTTGACACCTCCCTGCCACTTGTTCACACAATTTCTCTTCCCTCTCTTGAACTGGACTCCTGGACTCTGCCCAGTGCTTAGCCATGAATCTTTGATTCTGCTTCCATCAGTTACTGGGTGAAGGTTCTGTGATGACAATTATGGTAGTCACCAATCTGCTTACAGGAGAAGGCTAGTTCATGTGCCTTCTCCACTATTGCCGATTAACTGACATCATCCTAGTGGATTCCTGGGAGTTTCCCTGGTACTAGGTTTCTCACTAACCCCCAAACTGCTACCCCCATCAAGATATCATTTTCATTATTCTCCCCCTCCCTCCCAACTTGACCAATTGGATTGCTCATATTCCAATTCCCCTCTGTGCCTTCCCCAACACTACCCTCCCACAATTTACCAAGGATATCTCATCTATTTCCCCTTACCAGGAAAATACATGTAGCCCTTCTATAGACAAATGATAAATGGGCTGAGAAAGAAGTCAGAGAAACAACACACTTTATATAAATTATCTTGGGGGTAACTCTGATCAAACAAGTGAAAGACCTGTATGACAGGAAGCTGAAGTCTTTGAAGAAAGAAATTGGAGGAGATATCAGACAACAGAAAGATCTCCCATGGTCATGGAACTGTAAAATTCACATAGTAAAAATGCAATCTTACCAAAAGCAATCTGTAGATTCAATGCAATCCCCATAATAATTCCAACACAGTTCTTCACAGACATCAAAAGAACAATACTCAATGTCATATTGGAAAAACAAAAATCCCAGGATAACTAAAACAGTTTGCCACTTTTATATCATCTGTACTCAACTCCTCTTTTCCCCTCGAAGTTATCCCCAATGGTTCCCCCTTTTAGTTTTCTTAACAATGTCCATAATTAATAATGCATTTATTCTTATATTCTACATAATAATGATTTTCAAAATTTAAAAATAAATGCAGGGAGATGCTCGACTAAAGGGTCAATGTTTGAATGTTATCGTTTGACATTTTGAAATAGAGTTATACTGGATGTACAACCTTCTATCACTTGGTAATTTCATCTATAGTTTCTCTACAAAATTTTGTTTACATTAGGAAACCTGGAGAGCTGTGTAATGTGAACGAGGCTTGGTAGTTATTTGTTCTGCTTAAAGATTTGTGGACCATAACAGAAAGAAATGGAGAAATGTGGGAAGGAGGAAAATAGGTGTTGAGGTGAGATCAGTCTGAAAATCACAGTCTGCAGTACTGGAAGATACACGTGAGCCCAACAAAGTTTCTTTTGGAATACCTATGAGCCTCTTAGGAAAGGTGAGCATACAAGAATCCCCTTGGACACAAGATAGATAATGTGGATCATTATAGACCTGTATAAAAGGCATAAATTGAGAAGAAGAGAGAGCTATTTTAGAAGTCCAAAATTTATAAACATTTCATTTTCAAAGCAGGTTTCTTAATGGTTGACAGGTCAGTGAATAAGATAATTTAAGCAAGAAACTTTCCTCTTTGAATATTTAGGGACAGGATTTTTCAAATAGTAAGATTTTTCTAAGACAGCAAATTAGAATTCATTAAATTATGCCTTGGGCATCGTACATGTAAACCTAACATTAAACAGATTAACAGACTTTTTATGGCAACATCCATAGGGTCTGTTATTTCTTGACCCCATTTGCCTCCTAGGTCCAACATTTATGCAAATTAAGTGGTGAAGGTTGACTAAATGTTTGAATTAGCTTGAAATGGCACATTATGAATTTAAAGTAGAAGGAAAGAACATGCCCTGATGCTTGCCAAAAGTAATATACTCACTAATCATGTGCTAGATAGAAAAGAAATTGTTCATGAAAATATCTTAAGTAAATTTTAACTTCAAGAAATTGATAGTGTTCAAACCCTCTGGGTAAAATCTGGTGTAAGGTTTTATGACTAATGAACAACTTAATAATAACACAATGTAGCAAAATAAACTTTATGTTCTAATAATATTACCTTCCAATAGTTGGTTGCTCACAAATATTAGCCACTGGACTTGACTTTGCTTACATTATCCTATTTATCTATTCATTAGTCCTCCAGAGTAGCTACTCATTCTCATTATGCAAATAAAGTTGGAGAAACAGAACAAACACCTTCAACAAGATAGAACAATTTTCTAAAACTGGGATTAGAAGCCATATATGCGTAGCTTTTGAGCACAGGGTAGATAATGCCATTAATTACTGCTTGCTCAATGTTATTCATGTTACAAAAACAATGAAAAACAATGCTTTGAGGAGCAGTCTCTTAACGCTGGAATCACTTATCAAGTTGATCATGATAAAAGTGCACAATTAAAAGGATATTTTGCATCATTACCTTTGAACATTTCAAAGAAAGTCCTTTCAATGATTTGAATTTTGATAGAAGCATGAATTTCCATGAGGGGCTATAATATGTTTATTCTTTTCTAGAGTCTAAATAATTTCAAAGGTAAACTACAAAGTAATGTATGTAGAAAATAAAAAAAGGAATTTTAATTTGGTCAAAGTGCATTGTAAAAGCAAAATTAACTAACTAAATGGGCCACAGGATTAGATGACTCCAGCAAGTGGGATGGGATATGAATGCTGAGAGAAAAATATATGCCCTACCCCAGGAACTAGAATCAGTCTCTACGAAGAGTGTTACTGTGTTTTAAGTGCTTGTTCCCCGGCTGGTGTTACTAGTTCAGGAGACTCCATACCCTTTAAGACAGTGGCTCCTGACCTTCCTAATGCTGTGGCTCTTTAATATTCTTCACGTTGTGCTGACCCCCCACCATAAAATTATTTTATTGTTGCTTCATAACTGTAACATTGCTGCTATTATGAGTGTTACTGTAAATATCTGATATGTTATCCCTATTAAATAACAGTGTGAGCACCATTGGGCTTGTGATCCACACGTTGAGAACTGCTGCTTTAATAGATTGAGTGCAGTGTGAGCGAGGGGTTAGTAGTGTGAGCCCTTGAAGGTTAGGGTCCAACTCTTGGTGACTGAACATCACTGCCTCCTGGTCTTGCATCTCTCCCTCCCACTGCCACAACTATTTCCTCCCCACTATGATAGATCGAGACCTTGTAAAGCCAAGAACCTAAATGAACCTTTCATCTCCAAAGTTGTTTCTGTCAGATATTTTGTCAAGATGGCATAAAAGTAACTGACACAACAGTACTTTTGTTTAAAATTTGATCACCAGATAAATCACTGATTCTCCAGAGAATAAAGAAGTGGAGAATCTGTTTGTCAGGAATAATGTGTGTATAGGAAGGCAATTTCACCAGCCCTTCTAATAGTCTCCCCTTACTGCGAATAGCATGTAAGCCCTACATTACATCTCCTTGATTGGAGATCCAGATCCTAAAACAGGCTAGCTGCCAACGTACAAGGTGATTTTTTTTATTGCTCTTTCAAAGAGAGACTATTGTTCCTCTTTTCTAATCTCTTGGCTCAACCTACGAGAAAGATAAATTTTGCCACCAATAAGGTTCAGACATGAGTGTTATAGTTCACTAATTAAATCGACTGCAGGGCTACTGTATTTCAGATCGAAAGTATATTATTCTATTAGTTCTCTCATCTTCAATAAGTCCATCCTTGCTTTCTAAAGTAAAACGTCATGAGTTCCAAAATGAGATTAATGTTGTTATTGCTAAAGATAATAAAAATTTATGAATCCAATAATTATAAACAGCACTCAACATCAGTAGAAGCCCTGTTTTTGCTCTCAAAATTCACAAGGAGTGTTTAGAAGCTATACCCATTAGGCATTAAGAGAACTGATATGTAACATTTAAACTTTCTTGACATGTATTAGAAATTAGAAATTCAGGGAATTTGCATTTCTCAATTTTTTCCATCTCTGATAGAGAATTTCTTAAATTTCTACACACATGATTATAGGCATTGAATCTTAAGAACCTTATATTTTTATTATTTTATGAGTAGGTGTTTATTATCTCTGTTATGATACTATTTCACACACACTATTTTAAAAAGTCTTACTATCCTCAGATGTTAGAATAGATTCCCCAGTTAGATATTCTTGAACCCCTTGTTTAATATTAACTAAACCTACAGTAATGGCTTGGTATTTGTATGTGAAAGTAAGAATGGTAATTACTCTGGTCCTGTGGCAACCTTTGCAGTTCAAAGAATCAAACATATCGTTGTACTCTTTTTTTACTAGGAATATGGGAGCACTTTCTATTTGATTCCAATGCAGGGCTTCTCACGGGGTTGTAGTTCAGCTGCTGTTCAGAGCTGTAGTCAACCAAAAGTTACAAG